ATCGCCTTTAAACAAATTGGCGATTTTATTACGGACAGTTTGGCACGTAAAACCAAAGCAAGATTTGTTAAAGATAAACGTGCAATAAATAATAGGTAGGTTAGAGAAAAAAATTTCGAATCAGCCTCGGATTCGTTCAGTATAGTAGAAATGGCACCCAACGTGGAGACTTCTCTTCGAGGGGCAGTCAATTAGAACGTTATCACCGGATAGATTATGTTGAGTAGGTAATAAACCGAACCCACAAAAGTTGTTGAAACAGTGGAAATTATTAAGATATCGCCATTATAAATCTGGCCCCAATTTATATGCAAAATAAATTGCGTCGCTTTCCCAGTTTATAATTGGTGCTTAGGATTTACGATTATGTACGAAAATAGTCTCTCTAGGGCAACGGATGTTAAGTGCTCTGCAAATATACATAAACGTTTTTAAAGCTCGTATAACTCTCGAGATAATGGCGAAGAATTATGTGGGGAGATGAGTATGCTACGTTGGAAGTTGGAAGCGTGACGAGGCAAAGTTTATGGTCTAAATAATCCCTTACTCTCGTACTTAGTAGGACTTAATATGATTCACGACATTTGAATGTAAATCGCTTTCGGTAGCTGCGCCGCCTCGCCTCGCATAGCGCCTTAATAATGCGAAAATGTACCGTATCGACTGACAACAAATGTCTCGAGTCTTTCTTAGAAACTCATTTTTTTGGGAGTGGGTTTTCTTCTGTTTGTCCTAGAAATGTTGCTCCAGAAGACTCGCTCGCTCCACAAAACAACCTCCCCCCCCCCCTCCTCATTCAAATTACATTGGGTGTCAATACTCCGTGAAGAAGGTTTTCTTTAAAGCGAGTGTATGCTGGGTGTGAACTTCAGAGAATCGAGAACTTTTCCGTAAATAAATGAGCACAAAATTTTATTACAACAGCGCAAAAAAGCGCACAATTCGTGCTCAATTTCGGCGTAAAAACATCAATTGCACAAACATTCGTAATTCCCTGAAGTTGGAAGGGCTCACATAATTTTTGAAACAACTTTCTTATAAGGGCGCAAAATTTGACTCCAAAAGTTCCAAAAGCGCACAATTAGTGCTCAATTTCGACGTAAAAAAANTCGGCATAAATCAACCGCTCACCCGAAATTCTAAAGCGTGCTATACAGTTCTGATCACAAAACACATATTCCACGCTAATCCCGAGCGAGCCGAAGGCGAGATCGGGATAAATCCAACACTCGCCCAAAATTCTGAAGCATTATTCGGTTCCGGTCACAAAACACAAATGTCATTCCAATGCCGAGCGAGCCAAAGCCGAGATCGGCATAAATCAACCGCTCACCCGAAATTCTAGAGCGTGCTTATACAGTTCTGATCGCAAATCACAGATTTCATGCTAATGCCGAGCGAGCCGAAGGCGAGATCGGCATAGATCCAACACTAGCTCAAAATTCTGAAGCATTATTCGGTTCCGGTCACAAAACACAGATGTCATTCCAATGCCGAGCGAGCCAAAGCCGAGATCGGCATAAATCAACCGCTCACCCGAAATTCTAAAGCGTGCTATACAGTTCTGATCACAAAACACATATTCCACGCTAATACCGAGCGAGCCGAAGGCGAGATCGGGATAAATCCAACACTCGCCCAAAATTCTGAAGCATTATTCGGTTCCGGTCACAAAACACAAATGTCATTCCAATGCCGAGCGAGCCAAAGCCGAGATCGGCATAAATCAACCGCTCACCCGAAATTCTAGAGCGTGCTTATACAGTTCTGATCGCAAATCACAGATTTCATGCTAATGCCGAGCGAGCCGAAGGCGAGATCGGCATAGATCCAACACTGGCTCAAAATTCTGAAGCATTATTCGGTTCCGGTCAACAAAACACAGATTTCATACCAATGGCGAGCGAGCCGAAGGCGAGATCGGCAAAAATCACCCGCTCGCCCGAAATTCTACACCGTACTATACAATTCCGGTCACAAAACACAGATTTCATACCAATGCCGAGCGCACCGAAAGGGAGATCGGCATAAATCAACCGCTCGCTCGAAATTCTAGACCGTACTATACAGTTCCGGTCACAAAACCCAGAGTTTATACCAATGCCGAGCGAACCGAAAGCTAGATCGGCATAAATCAACCGCTCGCCCGAAATTCTAGACCGTACTATACAATTCCGGTCACAAAACACAGATTTCATACCAATGCCGAGCGAGCCGAAGGCGAGATCGGCAAAAATCAACCGCTCATCCGAAATTCTACACCGTACTATACAATTCCGGTCACAAAACACAGATTTCATACCAATTCCAAGCGAGCCGAAGGCGCGATCGGCAAAAATCAACCGCTTGCCCGAAATTCTAGACCGTACTATACAATTCCAATCACAAAACGCAGATTTCATACCAATGCCGAGCGAGCCGAAGGCGAGATCGGCAAAAATCACCCGCTCGCCCGAAATTCTACACCGTACTATACAATTCCGGTCACAAAACACAGATTTCATACCAATGCCGAGCGAGCCGAAGGCGAGATCGGCAAAAATCAACCGCTCATCCGAAATTCTACACCGTACTATACAATTCCGGTCACAAAACACAGATTTCATACCAATGCCAAGCGAGCCGAAGGCGAGATCGGCAAAAATCACCCGCTCGCCCGAAATTCTACACCGTACTATACAATTCCGGTCACAAAACACAGATTTCATACCAATGCCGAGCGCACCGAAAGGGAGATCGGCATAAATCAACCGCTCGCTCGAAATTCTAGACCGTACTATACAGTTCCGGTCACAAAACCCAGAGTTTATACCAATGCCGAGCGAACCGAAAGCTAGATCGGCATAAATCAACCGCTCGCCCGAAATTCTAGACCGTACTATACAATTCCGGTTACAAAACACAGATTTCATACCAATGGCGAGCGAGCCGAAGGCGAGATCGGCAAAAATCACCCGCTCGCCCGAAATTCTACACCGTACTATACAATTCCGGTCACAAAACACAGATTTCATACCAATGCCGAGCGCACCGAAAGGGAGATCGGCATAAATCAACCGCTCGCTCGAAATTCTAGACCGTACTATACAGTTCCGGTCACAAAACCCAGAGTTTATACCAATGCCGAGCGAACCGAAACCTAGATCGGCATAAATCAACCGCTCGCCCGAAATTCTAGACCGTACTATACAATTCCGGTCACAAAAGACAGATTTCATACTAATGGCGAGCGAGCCGAAGGCGAGATCGGAAAAATCAACCGCTCGCACAAAATTCTAGACAGTGCTATACCGTTCCGGTCACAAAACACAGATTTCATACTAATGCCGAGCGAGCCGAAGGCGAGATCGGCAAAAATCCACCGCTCGCACGAAATTCTAGAGCGTGCTATACGGTTCCGGTCACAAAATCCAGATTTCATACAAATGTCGAGCGAGCCGAAGGTGAGATCGGCATAAATAAACCGCTCACCGGAAACTCTGGAGCGCTATACGTTTTTTTAAATATAGAAGTTATTAGGTTCGTGACGTGACGTGAGCCACATTTTTTATTAACGAACGAAATTTTCGAGTGATTGCCCATTCAAATGCGACTACGTTACTTCACTGTAGACAATAAATGAATTATTAGTAATAAAAACAAACAAAGTAAAAAAAAAGAGCGTAAATTCCCAACAATGTCTTGCCCGGCCCGCGCTATTTACAAGAAAACGTATAAAAAAATCTCGTGTTTGTCGGGGTACAACAAAGAATGAATAGTAAATGGCGGGTTATATACGATATTTTTGAAGCATTTTTGCCTAGAAAAGATATCAGTTTCAGAGGACGATTTATTGAGGTTTAACTGCACGTGTATAAGCCAGACGAATTGGGGTGTGCTGGTTATTTCTTTTGTGAGTTTCGGTAAACTTTCGTAATTTTATATTTGAGTGTCACTTAATTTATAAACAGCGTGTCCCATTTATCTTGAGGCAGTTGGATTATTGGGCAAACTAGCGCGGATATCAAAAAATGATTTTCATATTAATGATGCTATGCACATTTTCAAATAATTACTGTCCCTTAAGGGCCAAGTGTCGAGCATTTTTTTAAAGCGCGACTTTTGTGTTTGGGCTAGGAAGCTGGTCTGTCAAGAATTTGACACTTTTTTTCCTTAAATTAAAGTAGTACACGCTAGTGCTCGTCCCTTTGTCAAATATACTTTTACTTTAACTTCGATTTCAACACGGACGACCTATACTCTGTCACGGTCGTTGCACGTCTCTCTCTATGCTGTAACCGTTGAATGAAATATTTACTCAATGAGATTCTGTAGACATTTTGGGGATTCCTTGGTTCGGGATTCTTTTTAAAACTCGAGAACCCTTAGATATTCTATATACATTTTTCTGGGTTAATAATTAATTACCCTTACTTTTGTTTCAAAACATTTGCATCGTGGGAATTACCTCAGTCCCTTTTACTAAGTGGAGAGATATTTTACGTCCGGTATTCTGGAACGTGGAGGCTTTTTAAGAAAGTTTTGTGGGGAACTTCCGGCGGATACCATTTAGAATTTCGCGCACAAACAAAATTACTATTGATCGTCCGTACGGCAGCCGCCTTACATATCGTAAGCCATCAATTCTTTCGTCGGATGTGACATGCAAGCCGCCGAGCCATCATCCGCCAGCGGGGAATACCAATAAAGATATTTTTAAGTGGCGAAATTTTTCTTCATAAAAAAGGCCTCAACGTCCCCCAAAAAAAGGCGCAATTGCCCCGTACGTAAAGATGTCAGCGGCAAAGAAACGAGAAATGCACATAAAAACGATGTTTATCAACAAATTCGTAGTCGGCTGCCAAGAATTTTGCGGCACCACAAATCGGTGGTATATAAATTATACCCGGGGAACCTATTCTTTTTTTAATCATTCCCGCATAAAAAATCTTAACCTATCACAATAAATCTTTTGGATTTCCCCGGTATAATTTTCAATTTGGATTCTTGCAAGCACTTACCTTTGCGAAATCTATTTTTAAGGTGCAGCATCCTGAGTAAATATCGGCACCGTGCAGCGTGTCCTTGGCTCTTACGGCCGCTTCGACATTGTCGAACGTGTTTGCGTTAAGGAAAAGGGACGTGAGAAATTGTTTATATTTTAATAATTTGTTACTAAAGGATATTCTACCATCGCCTGTACCCCGTTCTTCTTGAAGATGACTATTCTAAGGACGTTCCCGCTAGGCTGGCAGATTGTGTGAAGAACCTCCTGTAACAAAAGAAAGGGGGTGGTTAGCAGAGTCGCACTGCTTTACTAAGGGCTACCAGGGTTTATATAATCATTGTCATTAGTTCACTTTCATTGGATCATTAAGAAACAGCCAATAGAAGCAGGGCAGTTTCGATTCAACATTTCATCAACTCAAAAATGGAAAAAATGAACAACATTTGAATATTGATTTCTTGGTATTTTAAATCAAAATTGCACTATTTTTTAATTTTCAATTTTTGAGTTAATGGTTTTGATTTGCTAGGAGGGTACGTTTCTGTTTTGTGTTCAATTTAAGGGCGGAAACTGCAGAGGAGGGGGTCTCGTCCGTCTAGGTTGAAATAATACCGACGAGAGCGAGCCACCCAATAGTTGAAAATGTACGTGCTGTAAACTTAATTTAGGTTTAGCATTAGAAGTTTGTTGTAATTTATTTATTTATGACTTGCGGAACACTTTGTCAAATTTTATTTGATTTAACATTTTATTCAGACGCCAGGGTTTCTTTTTGTCCCGGGATCCAGTTGTACCCTGAGACTGCAAATTTTGACATCACCAATAGATATGTCTCGTGTCGACGTTCCACTTGCCTTTTATGAGTACCCTCCTCCGATACTTCTTTTTCAAGATATTCGCTTCGCCTTCGCCAATAGATATGTCTCGTCCAGACGACCCATTTTGCCTTTGAGAGTCCTTTCCTCCGACAAACCGTTTTCGAGATAACCGCTCTTCAAAGTTTTGACATCTCCAATGGATATGTTTCTTCCAGACGTCCCAATCACTTTTTGTGAGTACCCTCCTCCGACAATCTGTTATTCAGATGTAAGGATCGTAGAAATAAATTCCTTGCATTAGAGTAACATGAAGGTTTAAAACCAAACCAGCCCCACTCCTCCCCCCCGCTCCAAAACCCCACTTTTGAGGAGGAGCCAGAAAGAAAGGCGGTAGTTGGTAGAAAATAAGAAAACCATTCCTTTTTTGAGACCACGAAAAAATAAAATTAATTTCTCCCCCCCCCCCCCCGCGGTCACCCACCAATCTCAAAAATCGCACGGGAACATTAAAATTTCTACAAACCAATTGATTTCGATTAAACCTTTCATTAGAATACCATTAAGGGTAAAAAGTGTGCTCATCACCCCCCCCCCCCCCACCAGATTTTCAAAAGTTTTACTTGGCATGGGTAATGAAAAATATGAGACCAAAATTGGTCGTCGTAGGTAAAAGTTATGCACGTTTACTTTCAAAAACAGCATCTCAGGAAATAATTCATGCCCCCCCTCCCCCCTTCCATCAAAAGACAGCGCAATATAAGCTACCTATTTTTTTCGAGATATTCGCTCTTAAAGTTTTTACAAGGTCCTTTAAAACCCTTTGCGAGGTTTAAGGATCTCTAAAAGTTGTCGCCAAGTAAATAGTGACAATAGCGGTAAACATTTTCAAAGGCTACGAAAAGGACCTTTAAGTTTTAACAACCACTGACAACCTTTAGAAGGTTTTCAACCATCTTCAAGAACCTCTCATTGGTTTATTGAGTCTTTAAAAAACCTTCGAAAGTCCTTAAGAAGCTTTAAATATACTTTCTTCCAGGGAATTTTGAAAAACCTTTCAGACCTTGACTCCTTTCAAAAAAGGGTCTTAATCAAAAGTGCCATTAGAGCCTGGATGGAGAGGATGGATTTCCGAAAGAGTCTTCCAGAATCTTTGTCTTCGAGTTTCTTGGACCTTTAAAGCAATTTATTGATCCTTAAGGCTCTCTAAAAGTTTTTCAAGAACCTTTAATAGACACTTGGTCATTAAGGGTGTTTCCAAACCCCTCTAAATATTTTAAAGTTTTAAGTCTTCTTCAAGACCCCTTTGAAAGTAGGTACTTTACTACGATTTCGAGATTTGAGGAATTATAACCTAACGAGATAAGGGGTCGAGGAGGGGGGAGTGGATGGTGGAAATTAATTCATTTCGTTGAGACCTTAAGAGTACACCACCCTTCCCCCGATCTCAAGTGGCAGAAAAGAGCGATGGTACGTAGAAAACAATTTCTTTCCTTTAATTAATCAGAATACCATGGAGGATAAAACCAAAGTTTAATCCCCCCTCCCCCCTCATCCCGGTATCAAGTCACCACGATCTTTATTTTTCCCGAAGTAGCAAAGAAGGGCGGTGGTTGGTAGCAAACAATTCCTTCCGTTGAGACCTTTCACTACAGCGCCATAAAAAACAAAACCAAATTTTAACCCCCACCCCCCTCACCCATCCATCTCGAGAGGCAGAAAGGGGCGGTGGTTCGTATAAAACAAATCCTTTCATTGAAACATCGATTGAAACCACAAATCACAAAACCAATTTTTCCCCCCCCCCCCCCCCGGATTTCACAAGAAAAACAGTGGTTCATAGAAAACAATTCCTTTCATTGAGACCTTTAAATAGTTCATTAGAATACAAATGAATCATAAAATCAATTTTCAACCACTCCTCCCCCCCACCCCCACCCTCACCCTTCGCCCCACATCCTTAACGCTATTCACAAGTAGCAGACAAAAGCGGTGATTCGTAGAAAACAATTCCTTTCGATGAGACTTTTGAGTAGAGTACCATAAAGCACCAAACCAATTATTAACCACCCTTCCCCCTCTGTCACTCTGAGTTTAAAAGACAGAAAAAAGCGGTGGTTCGTAGAGAAAAAAATCTTTCCGTTGAGACCTTTTACTTGAGTACCATAAAAGACAAAACCAATTTTTTAACCACATCCCCCCCCCCCCCCATCTTAAGTGGCAGAAAAGAGCGGTGGTTCGTAGAAAACAAATCATTTCGTTGAGACCTTTAATTAATGGATAAGAATGAACGGTAGACCCTATGCCCCCCCCCCCCCCCAGTACACAGTAATTGTACCGTTTAAGAGCTATTAAAAGCCTATCCAAACTTTAAAAGCCTCTCTAAGGACCTCCTTCACGAGACCTTGACAAACCTCAAGTTTATTAAAGAACCATTAAGGCTCTTTAAAAGTATGAACGGTCTCCAAGTGCATATATATGTCTTTAAGAGTCGCCGACGGTTCCTACGGCCCTACAAAAGTCTGCAAGAATATATCAAAAAATTTTTAGCCTTCAGAAGCCTTTAACGATCCCTATGGGTGACTTCCAAAATTATTCAAGAAACTTCAAGAGTGACCGCGGTTTCACGACCCCCCCTCCTCCAACATCCAAGAGTAGACTAAAAGCTTCTCTTTCTCTTGATGTCGGTCTGTCTGTCGGTCCGCCCGTACTTCCATTTCCGGCTAAACTACTGGACCGATTGGAACCAAATGTGGTATATCCAGAAAAGGGAGAACCAAAAAGCTTTTGGGCAGAATCGCACATGCGCAGGTGGTATCAGTGCTAGCAACAGGACTTTTTTTAAATCAAATTGAAGCGGATCGTACGTACCAAAATGCAAATAATGCGATGGGATTTATTTGGATCAGCTTCAGTGCGCCAGGCGGTAGGTTTTTTTCAGAAAGGCCCACACTCGGTTTGAAAAACAAGACAAATTAGTGTAGGTGAACCCAAATTCTTAAAAGAAACCCATTTATTATTTTCGCTGTGAGTTATGGTGTATAAAGAAATACTATTTACAATAAATCAGGGTGAGATCCGCACAACATTTACTAAGTTGTTGACATTAAATGGAATTTAAACAATAAATCTCCCGGGCAAAAAATAGAAATATATATAATTCAAAATGTCTTTTTTTTACAAATTTTTCTCCCCGTTTATTTTTGGTTTTCTGCAAATTGTTCACAATTATTATGGGTTTGAATAATTTTTTGAGTTTGTCAGTTTTTCCATTATTGAGGAAACTTTGGTCATTTTTAATCGAGACATTGATTTATTTAATCGTGACTAATTAGGGCGAATTTTATCGTGCCAACACATTAAATTTTAATTGCAGAAAAGAGTTCAAAGCTATTCAACAGTGTTTTATAGCGATAATTAAATTGATTGCTTAATTAATTTAATGCGTAGAAGTCGACGAGTACTCGTTTGAAGGTGGCAATAGTTATGCTCAAAGACTCCCCAAAACTTTTCAAGACTCCTCTCTTACAGAGGGAAAGAGTTTACTCTTTTGGATTCTTGGCAGCTCTTTTTTCTTCAAAAGTCAAAAAATATCCATAAAAGCTTCGAAAGGGGTCAAGGTCCTCTTCAATTCTCCTCAAGCAGGATTTAAGAACATTCGAAGGCTAAATCTGGAACATTTGGGCAGTTTTTTAAGGTTCTTAGAGATTCGGGTATTAAAGCCACAAAACTTCGAAACATTTCAATTTATGAACACACATTTTCAAAAATTGTGTTCGATAGAGCATATTTTGGTTTAAAAACGTATGAAATTGTGTTCAAAAAGTGCAATTTTCCATCAAAAAATAAATAATTTAAAATTTCAACTAAACCTCTTGAAATTTCAATAAAGAAGAAACACATTAGCAACTTTCATACAAAACTTAAAAAAATTTCAATTAATGAGCACAAATTTTCAAAAATTGTGTTCAAAAGAGTCATATTTTGGTTCAAAAACGTATGAAATGAAATTGTGTTCAAAAGAGTCATACTTTGGTTCAAAACCGTATGAAATTGTGTTCAAAAAGTGCAATCAAAAAATAAATAATTTAAAATTTCAACTAAACCTCTTGAAATTTCAATAAAGAAGAAACACATTAGCAACTTTCATACAAAACTTAAAAAAATTTCAATTAATGAACACAAATTTTCAAAAATTGTGTTCAAAAGAGTCATATTTTGGTTCAAAAACGTATGAAATTGTGTTCAAAAAGTGCAATTTTCGATCAAAAAATGAATAATTTAAAATTTCAACTAAACCTCTTGAAATTTCAATAAAGAAGAAACACATTAGCAATTTTCATACAAAACTTAAAAAAATTTCAATTAATGAACACAAATTTTCAAAAATTGTGTTCAAAAGAGTCATATTTTGGTTCAAAAACGTATGAAATTGTGTTCAAAAAGTGC